CCCAAAGTGCTGGGATTACTGGCGTGAGCCACCGCGCCCGGCTGGAGGGAGGCATCTTAACTACCCACCTCCTTGTGCAAATGCATAATCAAAGTAACTAGTGTTTTCCCCACCAGCTCTGTGGACTAGAAGGATGGAGAGCAGTAATTCCATTTGACATGGATCACTTGAATTCAGAAGTTCGAGACCACACTGGCCAACATGGTGAAACCCTGTCTCGAATAAAAATTCAAAATTTAGCCAGGCATGGTGGCACACACCTGTAATCCCAGCTACTTGGGAAGCTGAGGCAGGAGAATCACGTAAACCTGGGAGGTGAAGGCTGCAGTGAGCTGAGATCGATCTCACCATTGCACTCCAGCCTGGGTGACAGAGCAAGACTCCATCTCAAAAAAAAAAAAAAAAAAAAAAAAAAAAAAAAGGAAAGAAGGTACAAAGCAGAAAGAAAAAAGGAAGGTAGTAGGCACTGGGCAGAGTGGCTTATGCCTACAGTTCCAGAACTTTCGGGGGCTGACGCTGGAGGATCACTTCAGCCCAGAAGTTCGAGACCAGCCTGGGAACACAGTGAGACAACCATCTTCTCAAAACATCAAAACAATTAGCCAGGCACGGTGGCACATGCCTCTAGTCCCAGCTACTCAGAAGGCTGAGGTGGGAGGATCACTTGAGCCCAGGAGTTTGAGGCTGCAGTGAGCCATGATCATGCCACTGCACTGAAGCCTGGGTGACAGTGAGACCCTGCCCCTTAAGAAAAAAAAACAAAAGGTAACAGTAGCTTAAAACCATAGCCAAGGGCCGGGCGCGGTGGCTCAAGCCTGTAATCCCAGCACTTTGGGAGGCCGAGGCGGATGGATCACGAGGTCAAGAGATCGAGACCATCCTGGTCAACATGGTGAAATCCCGTCTCTACTAAAAAAAAAATTAAAAAAATTAGCTGGGCATGGTGGCGCGTGCCTGTAATCCCAGCTACTCAGGAGGCTGAGGCAGGAGAATTGCCTGAACCCAGGAGGCAGAGGTTGTGGTGAGCCAAGATCACGCCATTGCACTCCAGCCTGGGTAACAAGAGTGAAACTCCGCCTCAAAAAACAAACAAAAAAACCATAGCCAAGGAAGCTAAAGTCAGTAAATGTTTGTTTAGAAACTAATGATAACATTATCTAACATGGGGGTGGGGAGTTGGGGAGACAGCATGGGGAGAAATGCCAGATATAGGTGAAGGGAAGGAAGGCAGCGAATCACACTGCCATGTGTGTACCTATGCAACAATCTTGCATGTTCTTCACATGTACCCCAAAACCTAAAATGCAATTAAAAAAAAATTATTGGCCGGGCGCAGAGGCTCATGCCTGTAATCCTAGCACTTTGGGAGGCCGAGGTGGGTGGATCACCTGAAGTCAGGAGTTCAAGACCAGCCCGGCCATCATGGTGAAACCTCATCTTTAAAAAAAAAAAAAAAAAAATTATTAACATTATCTTAACATGTCTTTGAGCTGTTTTTCAGAAACACAGACCCCCAGCAAATGAATCCAATGGCCTGTAAACCTCAGATAAGGGGAAACTGAAGACTGAACTCTGACCACTGTTCTCTGTTCTAAAATTCTTCCTAAGGGCCCTGGAGGAGCTCACACCCACAAAACACAGCTAATGTTCTTTTTTTTCTTCTTACAGAGTCTTGCTCTGCCACCCATGCTGGAGTCCAATGGCGCAATCTTGGCTCACTGCAGGATTCACTTCCCTGGTTCAATTGATTCTCCTCCCTCAGCCTCTCAAGTAGCTGGGATTACCGGCACCCGCCACCATGCCCAGCTAATTTTGTTATGTTTTCAGTAGAGACAGGATTTCATCATGTTAGCCAGGCTGGTCTCAAATGCCTGACCTCAGGTGATCTGCCCACCTTGGCCTCCCAAAATGCTGAGATTACAGGTATAAACCACCGCCTGTAGTGAGGCTTTTTTTTTTTAAACAAAGCTTTTTTTCCTTAACCAGTTGAATCCACCTGTTGACAGCTGTTGTGAGACCTCCGTTGTTTTTTTCTTAATTTAAAATTATTTATTTGGGGGGGGGGGTTGGGGGATGGAGTCTTGCACTCTCGCCCAGGCTGGAGTCAGTGGCATGATCTTGGCTCGCTGCAACTTCTGCCTCTCGGGTTCAAGTGATTCTCATCCCGAGTAGCTGGGATTACAGGCGCGCGCCACTACACCTGGCTAATTTTTGTATTTTTAGTACAGACAGAGTTTCACCATGCTGGCCAGAATGGTCTCGAACTCCTGACTTCGTGATCCGCCCGCCTTGTCCTTCCAAAGTGCTGAGATTACAGGCAAGAGCCACCGCGCCCAGCCTAAAATAATTAATTATCCAGAGACATATAGAAAGGAGATGCAGCATAGGGCAATTTATTGCAAAGAAAAAATATTTTGTTTGTTTGTTTTAAGACGGAGTTTCACCATGTTGGTCAGGCTGGTCTTGAACTCCTGACCTCAGGTGATCCACCCGCCTTGGCCTCCAAAGTGCTTGGATTGCAGGCATGAGCCACTGCGCCCGGCCACAAAAAATATTTTGAAAGTGAGGTGTAGAATGGACAGTACACCCTGAGAGAGGATTCAGGGCGGGCTGCTCATAAGGATGAGACAGGAAAGACCAGCACGGGGGAGCCTCCCTTTATGGGAGCCTTACATTGTTATTCACAGGGGCGGGAAGAGATGTTACTACTAAGCATGTTCTGGGTGGTCCTTTGTGTGCACATGTGCAGTAGCTGTACATGCTTGTTCATATATGGCATGTCTCATTAGCACTTTTTTTTTTTTTTTGAGATGGAGTCTCACTCTGTCACCCAGGCTGGAGAGCAGTGGCAAGATCTCCACTCACTGCAACCTCCACCTCCTGGGTTCAAGCAGTTCTCCTGCCTTAGCCTCTCAAATAGCTGGGACTACAGGTGCACGCCATGACGCCTGGCTATTTTATTTTTTATTAGTAGAGACGGGGTTCCACCGTGTGGTCCAGGTTGGTAGCTAACTCCTGAGCTCAGGCAATCCACGTGCCTCAGCCTCCCAAATGCTGGGATTACAGGCCTGAGCCACCGTCATTAGTATCTTAAATCTCCACCCAGATATGTGGTTTTTACCATTATAATGAGCAAAGGGGTCAGTCTGAGGACAGGTAAAATCCTGTCCTGCATGCTCCCTACAGGGGACGTTCCCTGCTGGAGACAGCATTGCTTAAATGAGCTGGACCACAATAGCAAGTCTGGGATGTATTGTGTTGACTGGGTAATCACTATGGTTGCAGCATCCCGAGGACATGGTCACTTCCTTAACTACCTATCCAGCCTCACGCCCATGACCTGTAAGCCTCTACTTCAAGATATCCACCTCTTTATGTCAAACCAATGTATAACCGCCGTGTATTGATTTGTGACTGCTTATAACTTCTGCTTCCCCACCTTTAAAAACCCGTTCTTGGCCGGGTGAGGTGGATCACGCCTGTAATCTAAGCACTTTGGGAGACCGAGGCAGGTGAATCACCTGATCACCTGAGATCAGGAGTTCATGACCAGCTTTGCCAACATGGCAAAACTCCGTCTCTACTAAAAAATACAAAAATTCTGTAATCCCAGCACTTTGGGAGGCCGAGGCGGGTGGATCACGAGGTCAAGAGATCGAGACCATCCTGGTCAACATGGTGAAACCCCGTCCTACTAATACTAAAAATTAGCTGGGCATGGCAGTGCGTGCCTGTAATCCCAGCTACTCAGGAGGCTGAGGCAGGAGAATTGCTTGAATCCAGGAGGTGGAGGCTGCGGTGAGCCGAGGTCGCGCCATTGCACTCCAGCCTGGGTAACAAGAGCGAAACTCCGCCTCAAAAAAAAAAAACAAAAACAAACAAAAAAAAAACTTAGCTGGGCATGGTGGTGGGCACCTGTAATCCCAGCTACTCAGGAGGCTGAAGCAGGAGAATCACTTGAACCGGAGAGGCGGAGGTTGCAGTGAGCCGAGATCGCGCCGCTGCACTCCAGACCGGGGGAAGAGAGCAAGACTGTCTCAAACAAAAAAACAAACAAACAACGAATATGCCTGCCTCTCTGGGTGCCATCTCAACCCCCTTTTCACTCTCTTTAATTAAGGAAAAGTTTGACAAACTCGGTCTCCGATAATAATACAAAAAAAATTAGCCGGGCGTAGTAGTGAGCGCCTGTAATCCCAGCTACTTGGGAGGCTGAGGCAGGAGAATCGCTTGAACCCGGGAGTCAGAGATTGCAGTGAGCCGAGATCGCGTCACCGCACTCCAGCCTGTGGGGCAGAGCACGACTCTGTCCAAAAAAAAAAAAAAAAAAAAAAAGTGAATGAGAATATACATAAAGCACTTAGCACAGTGCCCTACTATTTCCTATAGTTTACTATGTATTGCATCTCTCATTTTGCAGGTATCTTGCCTATGGTGCAAGCAGAAGAAACAAGATTTTCTTTTTCTTTTTCTTTTAAATTATTCTCCTTCCCCTCGAGAAACAAGATTTTCAATCCAAATCTGAAAACTCCCAAGCCTCTGCCTTTTTCTTTTTATCCCTTTTCTTTTTCCTTTTTAAAATACTTGCTTCCTGCACAGAGAGGGGAAATGCTCAGCCCCCAAGTCAGTGGTTGAATTTGAACCCAGAAGATCCCTCTTTTGGTTTTGTCCCCGGTCCTGTCGGCAGCCCCTCAACAGTACTTGGTGAATTAATAAAAGGGCAGGTTTGTAAGCCTCACGTATCTGCGCAGGTTGCCCCTTCTGTGACCCCGAAGAAGCTTGCTCAGGTCCCGTTCCGGGGAAACAACCTTGCCTTCCCCTGCCCCCAAAAAGTTACCATCGCCTTCCGAGCCACAGCTCCACACGCCACCAACTCGGTCTTTGCCTCGTTTTCGACGCCCCCTAAGTCCCTCCCGAGAGGCGCAGGCGCACATCGCTCCTTCTGGCGAACTACATCTCCCACAATCCCAATCGGCCGGACCACCTCTGCTCGGGGCGCGGGAGGAGGCGGAGGCGGAGCTGGTCGTCCCGGGCCCGGACGAAGCCTCCCAAGGTGCCCTGCCTGGGCCCTCCGGGGGGAAGTTCATTAGACCAGAGATTGTCCGTTTCCTTGGTAAGGCGGGTCGCCTGTCCCAATCAGGTACGATTCTGCCTTCTGTACCCCCGGGGCCCCTCAGTGTAAAGTGGCAGATGGTATTATCTCGGCGGAGACACCGGCGGAGGGCCGCGGTACAGACACCCGGCGTGACGGGCGGACTGTGCACGCATGCGCAGAGGTGCGGCATGAGGGTGGGAGCCGTGGAACCCCTACCTCTGGCCTGCGCAGGTGAGGAGGGGGCGGGGCAGGATCGGACCGACCGACCTCCCTGCCATGATAACCACCTTTGCAGCCAGCTCCCAAAGCCGTTGGCCCGATTGTCCAGAAAATAGGGGGTCTCGGGATCTCCGTTTTAGCGTTTATATATCACACTTCCAATTAAGCCACTTCCAATATTTTTTGGCCGTTGTCAGTGTACGAGTCTTCCTCCTCTTCGAGACCATGTTATTGCAATAGCAGCAAACGTCTTGAGAGTCCTCACCATTCATCGTGGTTTTCCTGGCCTGTGGCAGCTCCTTCCTAGCGAGCTATGGAGCTTAAAGTCTTTTGGACACTTGAGTCTATTCAATGCAGTATCAGACCAGGTATGTACCTTGTCCATAAGTCTTCTTATGAGAAGACTCCTTGAGAGGGTGCAGACGCCGTGCAGTTTATAACCGACTGGAGGTATAGACAGTTAAGCAAGTCTCCTTTTTCTGTGCCCACCCCTACCTGCTTACACCTTGTTATGGGACTTGGCTAAATTGCTTAACCTTCCGGAGCTACGTTTTCTCATTAAATGAGAAGATTGGATTAGATGACCTCTAAGAACTTTCCACTTGTAAAATATGTGGTTAGTGAGGAGTAGAATCCAGATTATATCACGATATGTTTTTTGTCGTTGTTCTTGTTTTGAGACAGAGTGTCTCTCTGTCGCCCAGGTTGGAGTGTAGTGGCGTGATCTCACTGCAACCTCCACCTCCCGGGTTCAAGCGATTCTCTTGCCTCAGCCTCCTGAGTAGCTGGGACTGCAAGCACCCAGTTAATTTTTATATGTTTAGTAGAGACAGGGTTTCGCCATGTTTACCAGGCTGATGTCGAACTCCTGACCTCAGGTGATCCACCCGCCTCTGCTTCCTGAAGTGCTGGGACTACAGGTGTGTGCTACCGTGCCTGGCCCCACAATATGTTAACATTAAACTTCATCAGCTTCCATTTTTCTGCCAACATCAGTAAGAATGCATCTGGGCTGGTGTGGTAGCTCAGGCCTGTAATCCCAGCACTTTGGGAGGCTGAGGTGGGCGGGTCTCCTTAGGAGTTCGAGACCAGCCTGGCCAACATGATGAAACCCCATCTGTACTAAATATACAAAAATTAGCCAGGGTTGGTGTCATGCACCTGTAATCCCAGTTACTTGGGAGGCTGAGCCAGGAGTATTGCTTAAACCTGGGAGATGGAGGTTGCAGTGAGCTGAGATTGTGCCATTGCATTCCAGCCTAGGCAACAGAGTGAGACTCTATCTAAAAAAAAAAAAAAAAAAAAAAAAAAAAAGAATTCGGCCAGACACAGGGGCTCACCCCTATAATCCCAGCACTTTGGGAGGCAGAGACTGGCAGATCATTTGAGCTCAGGAGTTGGAGACCAGTGTGGACAACATGACAAAATCCCATCCCTACAAAAGTACAAAAATTAGCCAGGTGTGGTGGTATACACCCGTAGTCCCAGCTACAGGAGAGACAGAGGTGGGAGGATCACTTGAGCCCAGGAGGTCAAGGCTGCAGTGAGTCGTGATTGTGCCACTGCACTCCAGCATGGGCAACAAAGCAAGACACTGTCTTAAAAAAAAAAAAAAAAAAAAAAGGAAAAAGGATTGTTGACAGCAGCGTTAGAAAGAACTGTCTGTTGTAAATTCATGCCCTGACTTATACCTTATTGCTGAAAATAAGAAATTAACTGATAACACAACTTTGTTCAACCTATATTTGTTGTCATTTTATAGATCATTTCTAGGAAGAACTCTGAGTACAATAATGAACACAGTGTACGTGATGATGGCTCAAATCTTAAGATCTCACCTGATAAAGGCTACAGTGATTCCTAATCGAGTGAAAATGCTTTCTTATATTGGTATCATTAGAAATAGAATGATGTCAACCCATAAATCTAAAAAGAAGATCAGAGAATATTATAGGCTGCTGAATGTGAAGGAAGGATGCTCTGCAGATGACGTCAGGGAATCTTTTCGTAAGCTTGCCAAGCAGTATCATCCTGACAGTAGCTCTAATACTGCTGATTCTGCAACATTTATAAGAATTGAAGAAGCTTATAGAAAGGTGCTTTCACATGTGATAGAACAAACAAATGCCAGACAGAATGAAGGTGAAGAAGAAGAAGATGCAGAAAAATTCAAATATAAAACACCCCAACACCGGCATTATTTAAGTTTTGAAGGTATTGGTTTTGGGACGCCAAGTCAACGAGAGAAGCAGTACAGGCAATTTAGGGCAGACCGTGCTACTGAACAAGTGATGGAGTATCAAAAGCAGAAACTACAAAGCCAGTATTTTCCTGATAGTGTAACTGTTAAAAATATAAGACAGAGCAAAGAACAAAAGATAACTCAAGCTATAGAGCGTTTAGTGGAGGACCTCATTCAAGAATCCATGGCAAAAGGAGACTTTGACAATCTCAGTGGGAAAGGAAAACCTCTGAAAAAGTTTTCTGACTGTTCTTACATCGATCCCATGACTCACAACCTGAACCGAATATTGATCGATAATGGATACCAACCAGAATGGATCCTAATGCAAAAGGAAATAAATGATACTATTGAGCAACTCAGAGAGGCAATTTTAGTGTCTAGGAAAAAACTTGGGAATCCAATGACCCCAACTGAACAGAAGCAATGGAACCATGTTTGTGAGCAGTTTCAAGAAAACATCAGAAAATTAAACAAGCGAATTAATGATTTTAATTTAATTGTTCCCATCCTGACCAGGCAAAAAGTCCATTTTGATGCTCAGAAAGAAATTATCAGAGCCCAGAAAATATATGAGACCCTTATAAAAACAAAAGACGTCACAGATAGAAACTCAAATAACATTGATCAAGGACAAGAAGAGAAAACGCCTGGAATTAAGAAAGGTTTTTTAAACTGGATGAATTTATGGAAATTTATTAAAATATGATCATTTTGATAATTACTATCATAAATCATTCTTAGTTCCACTGATACCAACATGGAAAATGAGATTTATGCTATAATACAAGAATTTAAGAACTGTGCCATTGTACTTTTCACAAAACTAATCACATACCCAATGACCTGTGAGTGAGAAACCTATCGGGTTTGTCCTGAGGATGTAGCAAAAAAAGAAATGAACTAAAACTTCTAAAGAAGTCCATTCCAGTGTTTAAATGTCAGTCATCCAGTGAAATGGGCTAGGATCAGTTTTCTGATTTAGGAATCATACATGTATTCTGAAAGTGTTAGTGCAGTTTTGGGCTGTAATAACTAACTTAAAAGCAGTTATTGTTGCCATTTTCAAACATAGGTACTTAAACAACAACATGGAAACCGAAAAATATGTTATCAAAAGTCGCAAAACTGACGTGTAATGAAATTTAACCAATTAAACCTCCAAATGATGTATATATATATATATTTTTAACAAGTTTGCTGTACTTAAACTCCTGAGCTTATTAAGGCTCAAAACTGTTCCAAGACTTTTGGGACACCCTCCATATGGGTGGAAATATTAAGATCAGGAAATTAGCCTACTGAAATTACTGCACTTTTCTTTTTATGAGGGCCTTCTCTGTGGGTACTCAATGAAAAACACCAAACATCTAGGTTCTACTTTTTCCTGTCTAACTTGATGGTTTTCTTGGCTGCGGAAATCAGTGAAGCTAGTTGATTTAGTAATTCTAGAAATAAACCCCAGTGCCCATTTTGTCACCCAGGCTGGAGTTCAATGGCATGATCTCAGCCCACTGCAACATCCACCTCCTGGGTTCAAGGAATTCTGCCTCAGCCTCCCAAGTAGATGAGATTAGAGGCGCCCCCCGCCACCCCCAACTACCATGCCCAGCTAATTTTTATATTTTATTAGTAGAGACAAGGTTTCACCAATTTGGCCAGGCTGGTCTCAAACTCCTGACCTCAGGCGATCCACCCACCTTAGCCTCCCAAAGTGTTGGGATTACAGGCATGAGCCGCTGTGCCTGGCCCAGTGTCCACTTTAAAAAAAAAAAAAAAAAAAAGTATGAGTGTATTTCTCACTTTTTAGGAGGGGATAAAAATCCTTGGGGGCAGTAGCAATGTAAGATTTCACTTCTAGCTTCATCTTTTATCAGAAATTGAAATGTTAGATTTCCATAAATCTACCCTAAGCCTCCTGTGTCCTCTTGATTCAGACTCCCCAGTGGCTTTACAGCCATACGACAATTGTAACTTACTGCCTTACGGACCCAGTTTCCTGTCTTAGGGACCCTTTAATACACAAAAACAAGATGTCTGAATTACATGCATCTGCATCTTTGACAAATGCTGAGGTTGATACTCATGAGATAGTTGTGTCTCATCCACTTTCAGAAAATCTGACTGTTTCAGGTTTGGATGATTGCTTTTGTCACACAGAAGTGGCAACTAGAAGAATGTGGAATGTGGTCACAGGAGCTGGAGTGTTTCCTTCTTTAATTCAGGTACTCACCACCTGCATTTTGGAAGAATGTGTTATTTTGTAAAATGTGTGAGAGTTAAAACAACAAATAAAACTACACCTTCAAAAGGAAATTTTGGGCCTTTCTGCTTAGATACTGCAGCATTAATTAGTATAATAAGTGATTATTTTATTTAATGAGTTGTCATTTGGCTTCTACAATGATAGTATCACTGTAAATAAAAGTGAACAATATGAAATGTAGCTTAATAATAAGAGCTATAGTTCCAAAAACATTTTAGAAGGCAGTAATTTTGTGACTCTTGTTAAATGTGGGAAATAGGCCAGGCACAGTGGCTCACACCTGTAATCCTAGCACTTTGGGAAGCCGAGGTCACAAGGTGGATCACAAGGTCAGGAGTTGTAGACCAGCCTGACCAATGTGGTGAAACCCCATCTCTACTAAAAATACAAAAATCAGCCGGGCATGGTGGCGGGCGCCTTGGGAGGCTGAGGCAGGAGAATTGCTTGAACCCGGGAGGCAGAGGTTGCAGTGAGCCGAGATCCAGCCTGGGCAATGAAAGAGAGACTCCATCTCAAAGAAAAAAAAAAGTTGGGAATTAGATGTAAGAGGCCTAACTGCATTACAGCAACATAGATGAACAAAACCATTTTTAATATTGGTCAATGCGAAGGTTACCAGAAAATGTCAGTAAATTCTTAGTTTCTGCACAGTGCACTTTATGTTTGTAAATGTTGTCTATGTTAATAAAGTTATTGTGATGATTATTCAATGGCCCTTTGTTGTAATGGTAATAATAATTTGGGCTAGCCACCTAACTAAATGTTTTTTAAAAATCTTTTTGGCTGGGCGCGGTGGCTCAAGCCTGTAATCCCAGTACTTTGGGAGGCCAAAGCGGATGGATCACAAGGTCAAGAGATCGAGACCATCCTGGTCAGCATGGTGAAACCCCGTCTCTACTAAAAATACAAAACATTAGCTGGGCATGGTGGTGCGTGCCTGTAATCCCAGCTACTCAAGAGGTTGAGGCAGGAGAATTGCCTGAACCCAGGAGGCAGAGGTTGTGGTGAGCCGAAATTGTGCTATTGCACTCCAGCCTGGGTAACAAGAGTGAAACTCCGTCTCAAAAAAAAAAAAAAAAAATCTTTTTGGCCGGGCACAGTGGCTCACACCTGTAATCCCAGCACTTTGGTAGGCCAAAGCGGGTGGATCATGAGATCAAGAGATCGAGCCCATCCTGGCCAACATGGTGAAACCCCATCTCTACTAAAAATAGAAAAAATTAGCCAGATGTGGTGGCACATGACTTTAATCCCAGCTACCTAGAAGGCTGAGACAAGATCGCTTGAACCCAGGAGGTGGAAGTTACAGTGGGCCGAGAATGAGCCATTGCACTCTAGCCTGGGCAACAAGAGCCAAACTCCATCTCAAAAAAAAAAAAATCTTTTTGATTGACCAGGCACGGTGGCTTATGCCTGTAATCCCTACATTTTGAGAGGCTGAGGCATGAGGATCATTTGAGCCGAGGAGTTTGAGACCAACCTGGGAAACATGGTGAAACTCTGTCTCTACCAAAAAAAAAAAAAAAAAAAAAAAAAAAAAAAAAAAAAAAATTAGGTGTGGTAGCAGATGCTTGTAGTCCCAGCTACTTGGGAGCCTGAGGTGGGAGGATTGCTTGAGCCCAGGAGGTCAAAGCTGCAGTGAGCAGTGATCCCACCACTACGTTCCAGTGGCACAATCTTGGCTCACTACAACCTCTGCTTCCCATGCCTCCCAGGTTCAAGCAATTCTGTCTCCGTTTCTTGAGCTGCCACCACCTTACTATACCAGTAAAGTAGAACCTCTGTGATGAACCAACACATGGCCTCCCATCAGTCATTCTGAAACCTCGTCTCCCAAGGACAAATCTCATTGGCAGAACCCAGGTCACGTGCCGATTCTGAGCATATTTAAGAAAATTAGGGATTTTCTTTCCTCCCCAGACCAACTTAAAAGGTCTGGCTTCTTGCGAGGAATCACATTTGTCCCAGATGAATGATGCATGCTACTGTTAGTATGGGCCATCCGAAAGATGACAGGCTGGCTGGACGTGGTGGCTCACAACTGTAATCCTAGTGCTTTGGGAGGCCCAGGCAGACGGATCGCGAGGTCAGGAGTTTGAGACCAGCCTGGCCAACATGGTGAAACCCCATCTCTACTAAAAATATGGAAATTAGCTGGGTGTGCTGGCAGGCACCTGTAATCTCAGCTACTCGGGAGGCTGAAGTAGGAGAATCATTTGAACCCAGAAGGCAGAGGTTGCAGTGAGCTGAGATTGCACCATTGCACTCTAACCTGAGCCAGGTACAGTGGCTCACGCCTGTAATCCCAACACAACACTCTGGGAAGTCAAGTGGGGAGGATCCCTTGAGCCAAGGAGTTTGAGACCAACCTGGGCAACGTGGTGAAACCCCATCTCTACAAAAATTAGCCAGGTGTGATGGCACAAGCCTGTAGTCCTAGCTACTTGGGAGGCTGAGGTGGGAGAGTTACTTGAGCCCAGAAGGTTGAGGCTACAGTGAGCTGTGATCATGTCACTGGACTCCAGCCTAGGTGACAGAGAGAGACCCTGTCTCATTAAAATATCTCTGCACACTGCAACCTTTGCCTCCTGGCTTCAAGTGATTCTCCAGCCTCAGCCTCCCAATTAGCTGCGATTACAGATGTGTGCCACCATGCCCTTCTAATTTTTTTTTCCTTGAGACGGAGTCTCGCTCTGTTGCCGGGCTGGAGTAAAGTGGTGCAATTTCAGCTCACTGCAACCTGTGCCTCCCAGGTTCAAGCAATTCTCCTGCCTCAGCCTCCTGAGTAGCTGGGACTACAGGTGCATACCACCATGCCCACCTAGTTTTTGTATTTTTAGTATAGATGGGCTTTCACCATGTTGGTCAGGATGATCTCGATCTCAATCTCTTGATCTCGTAATCTGCCTGCCTCAGCCTCCCAAAGCGCCACCGCGCCCAGCCATTTTTTTTTTTTTTTTTTTTTTTTTTTTTTTTTTTTTTGAGATGGAGTCTCCCTCTGATGCGCAGGCTGGGAGTGCAGTGGCACGACTTTGCTCACTGCACCCTCCATCTCCTGGGATGAAGCGACGCTGCTGCCTCAGCTTCCTGAGTAGCTGGAACTACAGGGGCACACCTGGCTAATTTTTGTATTTTTAGTAGAGACAGCATTTCACCATATTGGCCAAGCTGGTCTCGAACTCCTGACCTTGTGATCCACCTAACTCAGCCACCTAAATTACTGGGATTACAGGTGTAAGCCACCATGCTTGGTTGCCCTTCTAAGCTTCTGTATTTTTAGTGGAGTCAGGTTTTCACCATGTTGGCCAGTTTGGTCTTGAACTCCTGACCTTAAGTGATCTGCCCACCTGCTGGGAGTAGAGGCATGAGCAACCGACTGTGCCCGGCCCGATTTTTGTCTTTTTTATAGAAACAGTGTTTCACCATGTTGCCTAGGCTGGTCTCGGACTCCTGAGCTCAAATGATCTGCCTGCCTTGGATTCCCAAG